ACCGGACCTCAGGAGGCAGGATGTTCCATAGGGTGGGCACTGCATTTAGCTGAGTGGATCGATGTGGGAGCTGTAAACTACTCCAAGAACATAATGTGAGGAGCCAGACCTTCCTGGGAGCAGGGATCCTTTCAATCACATGCATTAAGCTAAGCATGGACTGGTCAGTTTCAAGTCTTCATAATCTCTAGATGGAGCTGTCCACCAATCCATTTAAACAAGAAAAAAATGGCAGTGGAATCTAGAGTTTCAGTCCGTCTTCCAGCCAAAAGAGGACAGAGGGGCGAGTGAAGAGGTCAGGGACCAGATTGAAGGTGATAGTCCTATAGGAAGTTGGCAGATCCAGCTGGTGCCAGAAAATTGATTGATTAGGAAATATCCTGGAAATATTTTCACCTCTATGAAGCGGATTTTTAAACAGTCAAATTCAAGAAATCTGATTTGATGCCATAAGTCTTCATCCCCTTCAACATTTGTTCCTCATTGGTAGGACTTATCCATATGAAATGACTTATCTCAATGGAGATGTACATTGAGTAAGGATCAAATGAGCAGCTGGCTGGGAAGAACCAGAAGGATATGGTGAATTGCAAACTAAACATGAGTCAGGAAAATCGTGCAGTTGCCAGGAAAAGGGAGTGTTTGTGGGGATGTATTGGCCAAAGAACTTGACATTGTTCTGCTTCGCTTAGCACTTGATGGAGGAAGCAACTCTGCCCTTGAAGAAAAAGAAAATAAAATTAAGTGAGCTGATCTATCTGTATTAGAGAAGGGAGAAAGTATACATTGTTGCAGCATAAAAGAAGATTAACCAGGCTCCCTGAACTTCCAACTTCTTATCAGTAGATCAGTAGACTAAAATCTCATTGATACATTGATATTCCATTTTAATTGGGCATATCAAAAAGTAATCAATGACTTAAAGCAAGGGCAGGGCCTTTTTGATGGCTGAGGACTGCACTTTGAGGGGGTCTTTGGGGGGGATGGAGTTTTTTTAAAGCTATGCTAGGCTTATTTGGGACTTGCAATTTTCATTATATGTTTCCTGCATCAAGATGCCAGAAAAACACTTTCATCAGTTATATTCAAGGAGGACTCTAGGAGCCACAAGAAGGGGGATGACAAGTAGCCAACCTGTGATTTAAAGGACATTTCCTAATTTTGAACTACTGTGACACTCATCTCAGTAATGAGAAGATCTGGAGGCAAAGCACATATGTGGATTTGGGTTCTTTTAATATTTGTGCAGATTTATAAATCTGTTAGTGGCAAAATGATGATATAACAGTAAGCATTCCAGCAAGCAACCAAAACTCACTGCTCTTACATCCAATCTGTGGGACTGATTTCTCAAACATTTGTCCTTCAGATGTGTCATATTGCAAATCCCATAATCCCCATTCATATTTTCCTTCCCAGAAAGATCCCCATCACTAAGGGCCATTAATTTGTAACTTTTCTAGCACAGGACATACTTGAAAACTCCTAGCCAAGATTGTTAAGGTGATTTTGCACATGTTATTTTGGACTGGCCCTCTCCTATTTAAGATTTGCATCACTGTTTGGCTTGTGGTGTAATAGGAAATGAACAAACACAATTAAAAACCTCTTAGCTGGTGTTTTCTTTCATCTTGGAATGTTTTCTGCTGCCCAACCTCCAGTTATTCACCTTCAGTTGATGATGACTATGCAGTTGTAATGATGAGTTCAGAGCAATCACATGCTGATTCATTTTTCATGCTTTTCTTGCAGTTTTCAAGAAGGTGGGATCAATAGCTGATGAATTTAACTCAACTCAGACATACTATGAAAAGACGATTGTGTCAGTCCAGGAGAATCTTCAGGAACTGGGTAAGAATGATGTTGCTAGTCTGGTGTTTTTCATCCAAAACATAGGAAAGTTACCTTCTAATCAGTTCCATCCAGTTTAGTTCCCATACTGATAAGGTACCCAGTTCATTTCCTGCAGGGGATTGACCCTGATATCTCTTCCAAGAAAGGCATGCACTCCAACACAGAGCTGCAGATTCCATTCATATTGCAGGATCGGAGAACCTCTGATCCTCCAAATGATGCTGAATTACAACTCCCAGATGATCTGTCCCTAATTGGTCCTTCTGGTCTTTCAACAGTGCGCTCATTGCAACTATGACTGAGTCCATCCATCTTGCTGCTAGTCATCTTTTTCTTTCCTTTCCTTCCACCTCTTCCAGCATTAGAACCTCCTCCAGAGAACTAGGTATTTGCATAATGTGTCCAAAGTAGGTTTATTTGAACCTGGTCATTTGTACCTCAAGTGAGAACTCTGGGTTCATATGTTCAGTGATCCACCTGTTTGTTTTCTTGACTGTCCACAGTATTCAACATGGCATCTAAATATCTTTTCCAAGGCCTTCATGGCTGCTCTACCAAGTGCTAATCTGCAGCATATTTCTTGACTGTTCCTTTCCTGTTGATGGTTGATCCTAAAAGGCAGAAGCTATCCACCACTTCAGTATGGACAGGAGAATAAATTCTCACTTATTTTCTCTTTCAAAGCAATTATTTTCATTGAGTGGGGAGTTTCTATTGAGTCTTTCTAGCTTCAGAGAAACTGTCTTTTCATGCCTGCAGCAGGGAGTTAAAAACTTAAGCAACCCCTTCCCACATGCTGTAACTCATGCATCATGTACATTCACACAGAGGCTAGTAAGGATGATCAGGTTGTTTCCCATTCTTTTATTCTTCTTACATTTGCTGATAAGAAAACAGAAGAACCTGTTAGACAAAGGAATAGGCACAATATACAAAAGGCGGCAAACAAAGCTGCTTTTGGAGATCAACCTGAAAATTAGCTGTTGTTCAGGAGAGATTGCTTGCCTAAATATGCTTTCTCTCTGTTTTTCTTCTTATTTCATCCAGTCATAAGCATCCTGTAGAACAGGGTTCCTCAACCTTGGCAACTTTAAGACAGGTGGACTTCAATTTCCAGAATTCCCCAGCCAGCAATTCTGGGGAATTTTGGAAGTTGAAGTCTAGCCATCTTAAAGTTGCCAAGGTTGAGGAACCCTGCTGTAGAAGTCAAGAAGATTTCATGGAATTTGCCTCCCTGACTCACCCCCACTTTTATCTCCATCTAGTTTTGTTCCCCATTTCCCTTTCCTTCTCATCCCAGTATAACTACACCTTCCCCTGATCTGCTTGCACCCTGTTTCGTCTTCTCCATCTTATTGTTTCTGCTGGAAGAAGGGAGAGGAATGTGCATGTGTTTCTATGATGATGGTTTCTCTGATATTTCTGAAACTGGTTGGTATATGAGGATTGTGGATCAACTGATCCACAACTGATTTACACACAACTGATTTTAATTAGTAGTTATTACTCTTGGTTGTTGTTCTGGCTTTCCCATTTTGGAGATTATGACTTCTCATGAGATACATATCCATACATACACATTTATGACACATGGACACAATTCCAATTGGAGTTGGCATCTTATATAGGACAATTGGGATCGGACAACACTGCTGAGGTTTTTTACTCTTCCTTGGGGGTTTCAGGTTAAAATTTGGGGTCATGTATGATAACATGCTAGTTAGCTACGTAGAGTAGCATAAGAAAAATCATCCCAGTTCCCAGGCAAGCTTCTGCATACCCTTGGCTTTACATTGATTGATTGATTGATTGATTGATTGATTGATTGATTGGATTTATATGCCATTGAATCATATAGCCTCGTGGCAACTCAAAATACACGATGATAAGTCCTGTCATAAAGAGCAATTTAGAAACATGGTGGCTGGAACTTGTTTTGCAATGGCCCAAAAAATGTTTTAAGTTCAACTGAATTTCCATCAGGCAATTTTCAATCATGAATTTGCAAATGTTCAAATTTAAGATTAAAAGGGAAATAGATGAATACTGTACACTACCGTATCTAAATGTGGAAGTCTGCATCTAGGATACATGTGAATCACAAGTGTGTGTCACTGGGCAAATAGTTAACACTTTTTTCCAGTGAGTGAGTAAGAACTTTACAAGCATCTGCAAACAATCAGCATTTCTCTGATTCACTGGCAGGAAAATGATGAAAATTAATCTAGCACTCCTAAGCATATTTACAAACAGAAATAAGAAGTACCAATGAATTCAGTGAGGTTTTTTCCTGGGTAAGTGTGATCAGGGCTATACTTTTAGCAAATGCTTCTAGCCATCTAGGAACCCACCCACACAAAATGTTTGTTGGCAGGGAGTTGTAAATCATAATGAAGCATAGCTGTACATGCAGAAGTTGTTTTAGGTATAATTAATCATAGTTAAACTGCACTGAACACAATCTAGCTCAGTGACTAGTAATTTAGAGGGGCTCTTAATCCCCAGAGGTTTAATTATCATCATCAACTACAACATAAACATTGTTATTGTAGCAACATAATGCTATCAATGCACATTACTTATTTTAGAAAACAGATTCTTGCTGTAAAGAAATTATCATTTGTAATTTGATGAAAGTTAGATGATAAAGGGAAAGACTGGGAGGTAGGAGTAAAGAGGGAAATAACACAATTTTCATATAAAAGAAAATTTCTCATTTCTTAGGTATTAGCAGATCAAAATGATGGGAAGAGAAGAGGGATCCAGATCAAGACCTTGTAGCAAGAGATTAACCAGTGCCATTTTCTCAATGGACACCCTCCTCCCAGCTTTTTGCATTCTGGGTTCAGAAAATCCTTTAATGGGTCATCCCCAACCCAATGTTTCCAGCTGTGTTTAACTACAGCTTACATCATCCTCAAACAGCAAGACCATGCTTCCTGGGATGATGTGATTTGTAGATCATCACATCAGGAAGCTATCCTGGATCACTGTAACTTAAATTCTGCACCAGGTAAAACTGGATGCTATAACATGTCTTCATACTTGTGCAAGCACATAATATATTCTGCATAATTTTGTCATAGGAAGGAACCAAGTGTAATCAATTATTGCTTAAACATCAACATTATAATAGTGTTATCAACTAAACTGTTATGCTTCTGCCCCCTCATCCAGATCAGAAATCAGTGGACAACTGCTCCTTCTGTCATGATACAGGACAACTCGGACAGGAAATTAGCAAATTACAGAAGGAACTGGAGGAGATTCAGAAGAAGCTCTTGGCCCAGGAAGTATTACTTGATCGAGCTGGACAAGCCCACCAGCAGCTTTCATCTTCCAGCAGCAAGATCACTGATGAGGTGGACAGTTGCTTCTCTGCTGTTCAGCAGGTCAACCAGAGTTTGAGCCTCTTCCTGGCTCAAGTGAGGGGCTGGCAGGCTGCCACTTCTGAGCTAGGCAACTCACTCAAGGAGCTAACACAAGAACACTTTGATGTTGAAACTGCTATGCAGCAGATAAATTTTACCAGTGGGCAGACCTCAGACTGGATCCAGACCATCCAGAGAAAGACAAATGAGGAGACCCTGACACTACAGAAGATTGTGACTGAATGGCAGAACTATACCCGGCTGTTTGGCAGCTTGAGGGCCACCTCTTCCAAAACAGGTGAGCTGGTAAAGAATGTCCAAACTAACTTAGGTATTGCCTCGCAAAGGATCAGCCAGAATTCAGACAGCCTGCATGACCTTATACTCCAAGTAACAAGTTTACAGTTGCAGCTGGACAACATCACCTCCTTCCTGGATGACCATGAGGAGAACATGCATGACTTTCAGTACCATGTCCAATACATGCAAAACCGGACAGCTGAGCACTTTCAGACCTTAGAAGGCCGCATGACATCCCATGAGATTGAGATCAGCACCATCTTCACCAATATCAATGCCACTGATAGCCATGTTCACAGCATGCTCAAGTACCTGGATGATGTGCGACTCTCTTGCACACTGGGCTTCCACACACATGCTGAAGAACTTTACTACCTGAACAAATCAGTCAGTCTCATGTTAAGCACCACAGATCTTCTGCGGGAGCGTTTTAGCCTGCTCAATGCCCAGTTAAACTTTGACATTCGCAACCTTTCTATGGTCATGGAAGAGATGAAAGCTGTTGACATCCGACATGGGAAGATCCTGAGGAACGTCACCATCTTACAAGGTAAACAGATGGCAGGGTTGGGTTTCCAGGTGAATATCTCCCAAATAAAAGCATCCAAATGTAGAATCATTTCATCTTGTTTAATGGAAATATGAAAATGTGGGAAAGTCTATTATTAATTTCTCAGAAATATATTTTTTTCTGAATAAAAGCCCTCATAAACTAAAATACCAGGTAAGTTTGAGCTTACCTGGGGAAGCTTGTAAATAGAAAGTCTACAAAAGTTTTAAGTTCTAAAAGCAAACAAAGAGGATACCCAGAATGACCAATTAGGGAATTAAAAAAAAAAGAAATCTGTCACGGTTACTTGCCTAGTTATGGAGAAGAGTTTCCATGTAATGATTTACAATTCTGATGTGAATGAATTAGTGAAGAGAGCAGGAGGCAAAGGTTAAAGAGGAACTTATTCAAAATGATTCTTTTTGTTTCTCCCTCACAAATTTGGACAATGTTTTTCCAAAAAACCCCATGTCCACACACAATATCTGTCTTTACCCATAGCTAAATTGGTATTTTTACCATGGTCTATTAAATAAGCCATTATGCATTGGTTTGCATATAATGCTGTGCTACAATAAGTGGATCCTATAGCTTTATAAGTGAGAAGCAGTAAATCATCTTGTGGCTTAGTGTGATGTCTGAACCCAACTAACACATTAAATCTCTACCAGACCTGGCTGCATTGGTTTGCAAGCAAGGGAGGTCTGGTTGAATTCACACATTGGGTTAAACCCCAAATTAATTTGTTTGGTCTTTTAATTTAGAACAATGTATGAACACAGGTTTTTTTATTTGTAAGATATAGTTTATGGCTTAGCATTATGTATGAATCAAGCATCTTGCCACACTGCTGAAACAAACTATAGCTCGTCGCAGTTTGTGAGGCCATCTCTTGTGATTAACCAGTGGAGCAAATTCTGTGCCCCTTTACTTGGAAATAAGCCCTAGCAAACTCAATAGGACATTTCCAAATGAATATGCATAGAATTGGACACTTCCCTGTGTCAGTGCAGTCGAAGAAGAAAAAAATTGCAGGGAAAATCACCATTCCCTTATCTCCCAGTCTAGCGGTTTCCCTCCCTCTAAAGGCTGACCTAATTAGCCCAGGTAATCAGGTGTGCCTGGATTTTGACCAATAACCTTGATTTTGTCAATGCTGTTCCAGAGACTCATTGGTCACCTTTACAGAATAGAGAGGCGCACAGTTGAATTTCATTTGTTGTATTACTTCTGAATCTCCAGATGGAGCTAATTAGGCAGTAAATCATCCCAGAATATATATATAAATATCTAGTTTGAGAGAAAAGCTTTCGATACTTTGCAAGTTTGTTTAAATCTATGTCAAGATTCTCACTTTGTCAGTTGTCACTTTCTGGGCACTTCTTAAAAAAGGCGTCATGAATTGGTTCATCAAAGCAGGAGGCCAATAGGCAGTTATTTGCAGTTCCAGGTTCACCATCTTAGAACTAAGCAGTGAATGAGCATAGATGTATTAGCACAGCAGTAAGAGCATTGCTGCTTGTGCCATTTTAATGGAACACACAGTTACATCAGGAAGTTAATGCATTTTCATGGGGTTGATTGTCCCTTATCTCTACCATAAGCCCTGAGCTGAAGGGAACTGTTCTTGGACTAGAGGTTTTCTTCCCATTGTCAGATATATGCCAGCTTAGATAGTGCATAGGGGTTCCCCTTTCTATCATCAAACTGTGATTTCCATGAGATACCGAGTCTCTCACTGTATGGGGATTAAAAGATACCTGCAGGCAACAGAAAGTTGCAAACATTTCTATTTTAAGGTAAAGATGATCGATGGAGAAATATGTTGGCAGAAAGTCTAAGGGAAAATAATTTGCAAGGTTAGAGTGACCAAAGCCATTTGCAGTTTCGCTGCTAATTGCTTAGCAATGAATGCTTAGAAAGCATGCTATTGGCTAGATAAACTATATGACCGAAGCAGCTGTTGGAAACATATACAGGAATATCATCTGTTCTGAGGACAACAGTAAGTTCAGTATGTAACTTGCTGCTGGGATCCAGAAAAGGCCTGCACAGAATTGAGGCTCAGCACCGTCTCTTTGCCTAGATGAGTGCAGTCATCTAAAGTGTCTATCAGATGAGCTGGCATTGCAACTTCAGTTATAAAACATGTGGCCCCTCTTTTGGAAACAGCTGACTGTCCACCTCTTGGCTGTCAAGTGCCCCACCTGGGATGGAAGAAAACAAGAATTTGAATTTTAGGAAGATGCTTCACATATGGGTAATTGGAGCTAGGCAGTAGGAAGTATATGTCTACAGCAAGCAAGGAAACTTTGTCATGAGCTGAGCATCCACCAAGATTTACATTACCAAAATTCAGTATCAAATTACCATATAATAATGGAGTGAGCATCCTTCCCTCGCTCTGTATAAGAAGAAAAATATCTGCTTTAAGCCTCCAATAAGCTTAAAACATCAATTTTAGGAGGGAAAATAATCTTACTACCCTAATTTAAAAAACAAAACAAAACTGAGTTTTTTAACCTATACTCTCCAGTGGATAATACATCACTGTCACAATCCCTGTGACTTTCAGAGAGGAAAAGCTTGCTTTAAAGTTACCCTAACCCTCTCCCCCCATCCCCAAACAGCTATAAGCACTACCTAAACATTTCCAAAACTCAGCTGTTTTGCCTCTCTGCAGGAGTTTTCCTCATTTTGGTGCTTCCAGACACCTTGGACTACAACTCTAATGATTTGCAGGGAGCACAGCTGTTATTTATAGCACTGAAGTTGGTTTTACTGGTCTGTCCCAAGTATTTCAAGTCAAAAATTTGTTCAATCCTATGGCATTTTAGGGGCATCTTTCTGCAGTTATGCTGGGGAACTTCAGTTAGAATTACTTTCTGAATCTAAAAATGCACCTGGAATATACTACATGAACATCAAAATCCTCATTTTCCAGAATACTATAGTATATATATTGGGGACAGCATGTACAAACAAGTATTATAACCTACAAAATTACACAACCTAGAAAACGTACAAAACCATTATTTCAGAGAGAGAAGTATACAAAATGTGTGCTTTAGGGAGAAAGTACACAAAATGCATATGAATTATTGTTATAATTATTAAGTTCGCAAACTGAAGAAGAAACATGCCACAACAAACATCAGGAAAATGAGAAGCTGAGCAAATCCAAAATGCCTTAGTGCCCTTGGGATGCCCTGGGCCTACCTCAAGCTTTTTAGTGCCTCCCACAGGATGAGTTAATGGTACTTCCACAAAAATGGTACTGCACAAAAAACAGTGCAGTCCAGAATATCTCCTGAAGTTACAGAGGGTTGTAGGATGCAGCCTATTTTCATGGCAAAGGGTTTATGTGAGCCCACCCAATGCACCACTGCTGCCCGTGGCTCATTCCTTAGGCAAGCGGTTAAGCTGCTCCCCTAATCAAGTCATATCAGTTCCATCAGTTCAGGAATTGTGCCGGGCACTGTTCAGCATGTCAGGGACCGTACTGCAAAAGTAGTTGTGCCCAGGTCTCCAAATGGGCCATATTTGGGCAAGGTTGGGAAGATTTTAAGGGATGAAATGGACGCCTTAACCCCTCAACCAGGCTATTTTGTTTTTAAAATCCCTCCAAATCCAACAATGCAGAAATGGGGCAAACATTTACCTTGCCCACTCCTGGGGGGTTTGGGTCCATAAAGGAGTGCTAGCAGGCCAAATGGGGCCCACAGTCTGTCCTTGGGCACTCTGAGCTACAGCATCCTAACCGAGGATCCTTAGGGTCATTGAGGGAGATTATTTGTGGTGTCATCTTCTGCAGACTGCCGGTGAACCAGAAGAGAGCATTTTTCAGCTATTGCCGCTGTTTTTTGGGGTGCCGTTTATCAATCATTATTTTACTGAAATGCTTGTGTGATGTTTAATACTTAGTTTTATTTTGCATACTATTTAGGGATTATTTCAACGATGAACAGCATATGCCTATTTTTAAAAAGTGTGTTGCTGCCCGTTCTCTTAGCCTTTCCCTGCCTTTTCTCCCTCTCCAGGTGTTCCTGGCCCTCCTGGTCCCAGAGGATTCAGAGGAGAGCTTGCACTAAAGGGCCACCTGGAAGCAGAGGAGTGAAAGGTGACACGGGGAGTCTGGGCCGCCCGGGGCCACAGGGGCCCTTGGGCCCTCCTGGCCCTCCTGGCCCTCAAGGCGAGAGAGGCTCTGTGGGCACAAAAGGGCCCTCTGGATTCAAAGGGAGCAAGGGCAGCTTCGGACAAGGGGGTCCCAAGGGGCGGGCAGGCCCCAAAGGGGACCTGGGGCCTCCGGGGCCTGAGGGGGCCATTGGTCCACCCGGCCCAGCTGGCCCACAGGGGAAACCGGGCATCCCAGGCAAGCCCGGGCTCCCTGGCCCTATCGGGCTGATGGGCCGAAAGGGGGATCCTGGATTACGGGGTCAGCGTGGATTTCCAGGGCCCCCAGGACCCCCAGGAACGTGAACTATCCCTTTTTTTTCCTCCCAAAAGAAAAGTTTTAATGTGGACGATTGAAAAAAACCTCTTCTACAGCAGACACCTGTCCCCTCAGAAAGATATCGAGATAATGGGGCGTGGATTGTGTCATTTATTCTGCACTGCTAAGCTCCATTTCCAGCCGCTTAGGGGTAGCTTGAAAAACTGCTTCAAATCACTGAATTTCCTTAATTTTGGGAATGCCAAAGGCAAAGAATTGCAGCTGCTATTTAGGGCCCCACAACCTCATCCCCTTCTTCATCCCTCCCTGTAACACTATGAATCAATCGGTCAAGGTTGGCATTTGATAGATCACCTTCTGATGACGGTCTTCTCTGCTGTTCCTGCTTTTTGTTTTTTGTTTTTTTTGTTTTTTTAGGGGAACAATATGATTCTTACACGCTCAGATGCCAATGCGTGTATGTATATGTACATAAAGAGTAAACCCCTTTCTCTACCTGCCTCTGCTCTTACCTAACAGAGCCTGACAAACAGACCAGCGGCTGGGGAGACTTTCTTTCTGTTTCTTAGTCCCGCAGCAGGTGAAACTTCACCTGGGTCATGCCTGGTTGCCAGTTGCTAAGGAAGGCCACAAAGCAGAACTAGTTCCTGAACCTCGCAGTACTCATGAGAGCAGATCAATGTGCAGATTCCCCCCCATCCCCACTGCTGTCAGATGAGCACCATGAAGGGTGGGCTTAGGCACAGCACAATGGCCATGCTCAAGCCTTGCAACCAGAAACATGGTCTGCCCTCAACCCTCCAGCCAAAAGGCAGCAAAGCTGGGGAAAACCTCCCACTTTGTTTAAAAAAAAAAAAAAAAGCATGCAAGATAGCCCAGAACTAGATGGAGCAAGGAACTAAATTAGGCTAAGGCAGTGTCATAACTCATAGATTTTCGATAGGTAGGTTGGTGATCTTTAAGATGGATGTGATGATGGCCAAAACTGTCTTCTATTAGATCAGATTATTTGTTCATGATCTAGTCAAATATTGCATGCTCTGACCAGTAGTGGATCTGCAAAGTCTCACACAAAGATGAATCTTTCCCATTACCTGCTACCTGACTCATTACTTAATTAAACAAGGGAGGGGACAATCTTTTTTTCTGTCAAGGAATGCATCCCTTAGAAGTAAATGGAGCTGAAATAAACTGTGCCTGGGGTCACTCTTCTCTCTTTCTGGCATTCCCTTTTCTCTAACCTGATGCTTCTCTTTCTAGCTTCCTCTTTTCCCATATAATGAGCAGAGATTGCTCTTGCAAAGGGCTTCTTAAATTAAGCTGAATCCTATGAAATTAAGTTGAGGGCTAGATATGAGCCTAGGGCCGCTAGTTGCCCACTCATATTTTCACCAAAGATGCCAAAGATTGCACTTGGGATCTTTTGCTTTCCAAGGAGGTCTTCTGCTACTTAATTGGATTCACCCCAAAGCAGTAGCCCTGTATTTAGAGGAGGCTTCAGAATTCCATCTGAATGTCCAGATGGATCCACAGAGTAGACACAAGTCCATATTTGTATAGCCTCTTCCTATAAATGGTAAGTAATACATTTAGAGCTTCAAACAGGGAGCAGTTTCCATCTCCCAGGAAATACGGATGAGAAGGGGTAATAAAATTGGCTGAAAATGAGTTGGATGTAGCTTGCAGGGCCATTTAGCAAACCTGGCTATTCCAAGTGGTTATACAACATGGTCTGAAAGCTTCACCCTCTTATATCATCTGTGGTACTCACTGCAAAAGCCTCTGAGGTGCACCTTTGGGCTCATTCACTGGCACCCAAATACGGTTACTCATGTGGCCTAGAGCTGGTCCCACCCTTTCAGTGCTTGGTTACCAGCAGTGTAAGTGGGAGGAGCAATCATTGGCAATAGAACACTTGGTTGCATGTAGGTAAATTCAGTTTCTAACATCTCCATAGAGGACTGAAGCTCTGGAGAGACACTGCCAGTCAGTATTGGCTGTGCTAAATGGATAAATAGGCTGACTCAGTCAGCAGCAACTTCCTATCTTCATGTTACACAGTTGCCATGCTTTTTGTATATATGGGTGTGTGCATGTGCAAGTGTGTCATATGAGATGTTGGTTTGCATATATGCCCATCGGCTCATGTGCTTGTGCGTGCATTCTGTAGTGCAACTGATCAATGTCACTGATCCTCTTCATCTGTGTAACTCTGTTACATATGTATGGTATAACTGCTACATGTATACATCCCAGACCAATAAAAAATTAATGTAAAGGTGAGAAGTAACTGCTTGTTTTCTTTGGATGTGGTGAAGCAGAGACATGTAAAGCCTGCCCATACCCACCCAGCTGGTTCAGCATTTCAAAAAATGTATTTCTTTGGATGGTATACTCTTCCTGACAATCAGTTGGAGATTGTCCACCTATCCACTTATTGAGTCTTTTTCAAGGACCTGGGATAGGCGGCGGCGGTATTATCATCATCATCATAATCATCTAATAATATGGAATTGTGGAATATAATGTGGAATTATATGGATTTTACAGAATGTGGCAGCAAAAGTGCTGACAGAAGCCTGCTTTTTTTATCATCACCCACTGAGTTTATAGCTTCTTCAAAGGTTCCCACTTTGTTTCTAAGGCTAATTCAGAATGCTAATTTTCACCTTTAAAAACTCAGTGGTCTTGGACTGAGATATCTAAAGAACTGCTTCTTCACATACCAACCTATTCCCACATTAGGATGCTCAGCTGAGTCATGCTCTGCGTATGCATGATCAAAAACAATCCTATCTTGGCAAGTGATTGGATTGGACTGTGATGGAAGATTTCTGCATTTTTCATATTTTTCTACTGTTATTTTTATCCTACCCTGAGTTTTTGTTTTTTCATTTTAACCTTGTTCTGTTTTTCTGCTTCACATATTGTTGTGCACCTTTTTAACACTTATGATCACTGACTGCCTGGACAAAAGAAAGGCCCTGTGGGATCAGGCTAGTGGCCTGTCTGGTCCAGCTCTGTGGAGTCCTTGGGGTTCTCTGAGCTTGGTTCTGAAATGTGTGCAAGAAAAGAACCAAGCTCAGAGAACCCCAAGGACTCCACAGTTCAACCCTGAGCTACTCATATTCGCCTCCATTGGTCCAGTTCTCTCTGTCACACAGTGACCAACCAGATGTATTCAACATACTAACAAGCATGGACCAGACAGCAATATGCCTTGTCCACGGTCATTCCCCAGCAAGTGAAAACTTTCTCTGCGGATGAAAACACTAGATAGAAATACTGATGGGAAGGAAGCAAGGGGCATTACTTTTCGGGTCCTCTATATTCACTTCCCCTTCCTTCCATTTATTTAGAATCTTAGCCATTTAAATTTTCCAATCAGCATCTATCTGTTGCTTTGAGGCAGAAAAGCAAACTCTTTGGCTGAGATAAAATTAAGGAGGAGAACAGGGAGGATAATTTGTCTGGAAATGCTTTAGTGATGCCACATATTTGAACAATCATATAATCATATATTCAAAGAAATGACAAGTTGGTTGAGTGCCTAGGATTGATTCCCCTAAATTCCAACTGTGAGCTTGATGGGAGGGAGATAAGTGTTATTCACAATGATGTGAATGGTTTCACAATGGTGCAGAAGGTGGGTTTATTTATTTAGCATTCCTTGGATTCTTAAGGGACATGCTAGGACTTATGGGCAAGAACTTGTAACGCAGCTCTGATTGGTCTTTTGGAAAACAGTCTGCTTCTTTGAACAAAGAAGGATGTGGGGATGGTGGAGGAATGCTTGGCCCTTTCTCCACTTTTGTTCTACTCAAAAGCACCCCCCCCAAGTCTCACATCCTATCTTTTACAAAAAAATTGAGAACCTTTCCACATACTCCGTTCAGTTGATTCTTATTCTATCACCAAAGTTAATTAGGAGAGCTTTTTTTAAAAGCAAATCCTTGTTATCCAGATTTTTAATCTGGAGGAGTGGGATGGGAGAAGGGTGAGATAGAACCTAATTCTGTTAGATCAGTCTTGCTATTATGATGCTACTGGAGCTTAGGGTGTTTCTAATTATAGCTGAACAAAACATAAAAATGCTACTCTTTTCTTTTTGTGGTCAAGTCACACATATGCTGCTGATTCTCATTTGCTGAGGCTTCCTTAAAACCATCAGACATTTGCTGATCAACTAGCTCAGTTTGCTTGTTAGCACAAGCTATTTAAATCACAAGGGGGGGGGGAGTTATCCTTGTCTAAACGTGAAATAAAGTGTTCTATTTTCACCTTCCACACTGCTGTTTCAAACATCTAGTTCTCTCTAGCTCTTCTTTTGCCAAGACTGTATTCATTTCATACATTGCACATAGCAAACTTCAACAAAGCAAAGGTAAGTGTAAATGAGGTAAATTTATTGGTATTTAAAGGAAGGGGAAAGCCATAAATGAAACAAAAAAGACTCCACTCTAATCTACATTTCCTGAATCTAGGAATGTCTGGTGTGTGTGTGAGAGAGAGGGGGGGAGAGGGAGAAAGAGAAAGACAAGATAGCAGCTGTAACTGTACGATTAAAGTTCTACCCTTTTTGGTGGGTATCAGAAGGCAGCTTTGATTGCATTGTCATGGGCTTCATCTCAACTTTTTTTACCATCACCACTCCACCTCCTGAAGATGCCCAGCCTGACTCTGTTGGGCGTGATGAGATCAGAAGTGCCACAAGTTTTAATTACAGGAAAATTACAGTTTCTAAATTCCTGAGTCAACCTTTCTCAACCTGGTGCCCTTCCAAACTCAAGAGTAGATGCATTAGATCACCTTTCCTATGACTCACAGTTCCATGATTGGAGGTATGCTGGCTGTAAATGATGGGAGTTGTAACATGTACTATGTTATCCTACCCTATCTTTAAATATAAATGGTGACCAGTACTTGTACTGGAACCGGGCTGGACAATGCCTAGCCTACCAGTCACATTCAATCCCCCAACCTATCCTTAATCTTCAAACTTCCCCAAGATTACAAGAACATGTTTTGCTTTTTAAATCCTCCCTCCAAACCTCCCAAAATAAAAATATCAAAGCTGAATATTTTGCATCCAACTCCTCCAGTGTTGATCACTGTTAAATAAAATACCGTATTTTTCTGTTAATAAGACACCCCCATTTTTAAGACGACCCCCACTTTTCCAACCCAAAATTAAGAAATCAGTATTTTAAAGATAAAGCAGAACACATATTTAGTAATTAGGTAACATTTACATGATACACTCAGTGGGAGGAGGTCCAAACTGTGTCTCTGCAGCTCTGTTTCCATGCTCTTTTGCAT